CTTATTCCCTATATACCCCATTCAACCTTCCCACCCCCTATACACCCCCCTTATTCGCTATATACCCCATTCACCTTCCCACCCCTATACACCCCCTTTCTCCTATATACCCCACTCACCTTCCCACCCCCTATACACCCCCTTATTCGCTATATACCCCATTCACCTTCCCACCCCTATACACCCCCTTATTCCCTATATAACCCATTCACGTTCCCACCCCCTATACACCCCCTGTTCCCTATATACCCCACTCACCTTCCTACCCCCTATACACCCCCTTATTCGCTATATACCCCATTCACCTTCCCACCCCTATACACCCCCTTGTTCCCTATATACCCCATTCTCCTTCCCACCCCTATACACCCCCTGTTCCCTATATACCCCACCTTCCCACCCCCTATACACCCCCTGTTCCCTATATACCCCACCTTCCCACCCCCTATACACCCCCTTGTTCCCTATATACCCCATTCACCTTCCCACCCCTATACACCCCCTTGTTCCCTATATACCCCATTCACCTTCCCCACCCCTATACACCCCCTTGTTCCCTATATACCCCATTCACCTTCACACCCCTATACACGCCCCTGTTCCCTATATACCCCACTCAACTTCCCACCCCCTATACACCCCCTTTCTCCCTATATACCCCATTCACCTTCCCACCCCCGTACACCCCCTTATTCCCTATATACCCCATTCACCTTCCCACCCCTATACACCCCCTTATTCCCTATATACCCCATTCACCTTCCCACCCCTATACACCCCCCTGTTCCCCTATATACCCCATTCACCTTCCCACCCCCCATCCACCCCCTTTCTCCCTATACCCCCCCATACTCCCCCCGTTGCTGAGGCAGCTGCAGCAATTAGTGACTCATCCCGCCCCCCCCCTCTATAGGTGGGGGAGGCGTCGGAGCTCTATAAGGCCCCCCCCCCCATCACCTACACACTCACCCCCCCCCAGTACAGCTGCATTGGTGAGTCACCTCCTCCCGCAGTGCTGGCGGGGGGGGGGAGCACCTATAGGGAGACCTATAGGGGCGGTGGGGGGGCTGGAGAGACCTATAGGTGCATGGGTGTAGGGGCATGTGGGGATGCACATATAGGCAGGCTGAGGGGACGCTCACGCGTGTGTATGTGCGCTCTCCCCCCCATAGGAACACGCGTCCACACGTGTACACGCGTGTGCATGTGACGGTACCCTCCTATAGGCAGACACACACACAGGCACATACGTGCACACGCATAGGGGCACGTATAGACACATACGTGCGCCCTCCCCATAGATACACGTGCACAAGGGTGACCTTGGGGGTTTCTATAGGGCGCGTGCAGTGCGATGGGGCCTGTATGGATTGTGTAGGGGGGTGAAGAGGGGTACTATGGGGGGATGGAGGGGGTGTGTATGGGAGAGGGTGTATAGGGGGTGTGTATAGGAGTGTGGGGGGGTAGGGGGTGTGTATAGAGATATGGGGGTTATATGGGGGGGGTGTATGTGTATGTAGGGGGTGTAGAGGGGTCTATGTGTGTGTAGGGGGCGTATAGGGGTCTATGTGTGTATAGGGGGTGTATAGGGGACTGTGTGTATATGGGGTGTATAGGGGACTATGTGCGTATAGGGGGTATATAGGGGTCTATGTGTGTAAAGGGGGCATATAGGGGTCTATGGGTGTATAGGGGGCGTATAGGGGTCTATGGGGTGTGTAGGTGGCTGTATAGGGGTCTATGTGTGTATAGGGGTCTGGGTGTGGAGGGGGTGTATAGGGGTTTATGAGTGTATAGGGGTCTATGAGTGTATATGGGGTGTATAGGGGTCTATGTGTGTATAGGGGGTGTATAGGGTTCTGGGTGTGGAGGGGGTGTATAGGGGTTTATGAGTGTAGAGGGGTCTATGAGTGTATATGGGGTGTATAGGGGTCTATGTGTGTATAGGGGATGTATAGGGGTCTATGTGTGTATAGGGTGCGTATAGGGCTCTATGTGTGTATAGGGGGCGTATAGGGCTCTATGTGTGTATAGGGGGCGTATAGGGGTCTATGTGTGTATAGGGGATGTATAGGGGTCTATGTGTGTATAGGGGGTGTATAGGGGTCTAGGGGGGTATAGGGGGTGTATAGGGGTCTATGTGTGTGCAGGGGGTGTATAGGGGTCTATGGGTGTGTAGGTGGCTGTATATGGGCATGGGGGGTGCATAGGGCTCTATGTAAGCACAGGGGCTCTATAGGGCACGGGGGTGTGTGTGTGTAACGCCCCCCCCCCTATTCATTCATCCCCCCTCATTCATTCATCCCGCGGCAGCTCCCCGCGCGGGGCGCTCTGAGCATGCGCGAACCCCCCCCCCTTTTTTTTCCCAGGCCCGGCCGGATTTTATGAATGGGCCATTGACGTCAATGGCGACCCCCCACGTGGGGCCCCGCGCGTATAAAGGGGGCGGTGCCGCCGCTGTCCAGGGTGCTGAAGGGCGAGACGGCGGCGAGGGCCGGGACCCCCCTTTTATCGGGATCCCCCCCCCTTTATCGCGATACCCCCCCCTATCGCGACCCCCCCTCCCCATCCGCACTGCGCATCGAATCCCCCTCCCCCCCCCCATCGCCATCCATCCCCCCCCCCCCCCCCCCCCAGCTTGGAAGAAGTGGGGGGGTGAAGGGAGAGACCCCGGATCTGCAGAGACCCCCCCGGAGCCGGTAAATAGCGCTTGACCCCCCCCGAACCCCGTTATTGGTCCCGATTGGGGGGTGGGGGGTGGGGGTTGGAAGGGGTGTCCCGTCCCCCCCCCCCATTCCCAAATGGGGTTTTGGGCGTGTGAAAAGGGGTTGGGGGGGGGTTGGGTGCAGTGAGATGGGGGGGGGGGGTTTATGGGGTGCACACGCGTGTTCGCGTGTGTTCTATGGGGGGTGCGTGTGTCACCCCGCAACATCCCCCCCCCCTTTCCGTGTGTCGTGACGCCGCGTCATCGCATGTTACATGTATGTGCTCGTATGGACACGCGTGCGCACACGCCTCGCACATGCAACCTCCCCCCCCCCATCATCAACCGGCATCGGGGGCTTAGGGGAGGGTCTGCATGGGGATGGGGGGGGGGGCAAAGCATGGGGGTGAGCCCCAAAACCGGGGGGGGGGGGGGAACAATTGGGCACCCCCCCATCACTGCAGCACCCTGGGGGTAGAGGTGGGACATGGCGATGGGGCGGGTGGTGGGGGGCAGGGGATGTGAATGAGCCCCATAAATGGGGGGGGGGGGGGCAGCTACACCCAAACCTGAGCTCGGTGTCGTGTGTGTGTCCCCCCCCATCATTGCATCAACCAGAAAATGGGGGTGTCCCGGGGGGGGGGGGGGGAGAACATGGGGAGGGGGATATGGGGGGGGCTATGGGGATGTGGGGAGGGGGGACATGGGGGTGTCCCCATGGGGGTCCCGGGGGGGATCATGGAGAGGGGGCACAGGGGGTATCCCATGGAGGGACACACACGGGGGGGGTCCCATAGGGGACACAAGGTCCCTGTAGCACATAGGGATGGTGCACTGGGGGGGGGGGGGGGGGGATGAGCCCCACATTGGGACTCATCCCTCCTCATCCCCATATTCCTTCTGTGCCCCCCACATCCCTCCTGTTCCCCCATTCCTACATCCCTCCTGTGCCCCCCACATCCCTCCTGTGCCCCCCCGTCCTCCCATCCCCTCCTGTGCCCCCCACACCCCTCCTGTGACCCCACATTCCCCCGTCCCCCCCCATCCCCACATCCCCTCCTGTGCCCCCCCCCATCCCTCCTGTCTCCCCCATCCCCACATCCCTCCTGTGCCCCCCATCCCTCCTGTCCCCCCCACCCCCCTATCACTCCTGTGGCCCCCACATCCCCCCCATCCCCACATCCCTCCTGTGCCCCCCCACATCCCTCCTGTCCCCCCACCCCCCTATCACTCCTGTGGCCCCCACATCCCCCCCATCCCCACATCCCTCCTGTGCCCCCCCACATCCCTCCTGTCCCCCCCACCCCCCTATCACTCCTGTGGCCCCCACATCCCCCCCATCCCCACATCCCTCCTGTGCCCCCCACATCCCTCCTGTCCCCCCACCTCCCATCCCTCTTGTGCCCCCCACATCCCCCCTGTCTTCCCCACCCCACATCCCTCCTGTGCCCCCCACATCCCCCCTTTCTTCCCCACCCCCCATCCCTCCTGTGCCCCCCACATCCCCCTTTCTTCCCCACCCCCCATCCCTCCTGTGCCCCCCACATCCCCCCTTTCTTCCCCACCCCCCATCCCTCCCTGTGCCCCCCACATCCCCCCTGTCTTCCCCACCCCACATCCCTCCTGTGTCCCCCCGCGTCCCTCCTGTGCCCCCCACATCCCCCCTTTCTTCCCCACCCCACATCCCTCCTGTGCCCCCCACATCCCCCCTTTCTTCCCCACCCCCCATCCCTCCTGTGCCCCCCACATCCCCCCTTTCTTCCCCCACCCCCCATCCCTCCTGTGCCCCCCACATCCCCCCTGTCTTCCCCACCCCACATCCCTCCTGTGCCCCCCACATCCCTCTTGTGCCCCCCACATCCCCCCTGTCTTCCCCACCCCCCATCCCTCTTGTGCCCCCCACATCCCCCCTGTCTTCCCCCACCCCACATCCCTCCTGTGCCCCCCACATCCCTCTTGTGCCCCCCACATCCCCCTGTCTTCCCCACCCCACATCCCTCCTGTGCCCCCCCGCGCCCCTCCTGTGCCCCCCACATCCCCCCTGTCCCCCCACCCCCGAATCCCTCTTGTGCCCCCCTCACTCCCCTATGTCCCCCCCCTTCCCCTCCCCACAGGCTCCATGGCGGCCCCTGCCCGCCCCCTCCGCAGCGCCGCCCTGCTCCTCTCCATCAGCCTCTTGGTGCAGAGCCACCCCAAACCCACCCCTCGCCCCCCCCCGGCTCCCCCTTCTCCCGCTCCCCCCCACGCCTTGAACAAGCGCTCGGCTCCTTTGGGAGCCCACAACGAGGTCTTGAAGGACCTGGAAGAGCTCGGACGGCTCCGTGCCGAAGCCAAACGGGACCGGCAGCGCGATCGGGAACGGGACCGGGAACGGGGCTGGCCGAGCTCCCGGCAGCTCCGGGCAGCAGCAGAGCCTGGAGCACCGCCTGCTCGAGCGGCGCTACGAGGAGCTGGCCGAGAGCCGGAGGCAGGCGGAGGCGGCGAGGAAAGCGGCGGCCGAGGAGGAGCGATTGGCGGACCTGGCCTCGGATCTGCTCCTGCGGTACCTGCTCCGAGGGCCCGGCGCGGCGCCGGCTGAGGATAAGAGGTCGGAAGAGGCCGAGCCCGAGGATGACGATGGGGAGGGCATGGAGGAAGGCTTCGAAGCCGGGGATGGAGGCGAGGAGAACCGGGGAGGGAAGGGGAAAGGGGGGGACGGAAGCGATGGGTTTGATGACGGCAACGATGGGTTTGAAGGCAACGGGGGGTTGGAGGACAACGAGATCCTTCCGAGAGGCGGCGTGGTACCAAGAGGAGAGATGATCCCAAGAGGTGGGATGATCCCAAGAGGCGGGATGATCCCAAGGGGAGAGATGATCCCAAGGGGAGAGATGATCCCAAGAGGCGGGATGATCCCAAGAGGAGAGATGATCCCAAGAGGCGGGATGATCCAAGAGGAGAGATGATCCCAAGAGGAGGGATGATCCCAAGAGGCAACAAGATCCCAATGGGTACCAACGACATCCCAATGGGTACCAATGACATCCTGATGGATACCAACGACGTCCCGATGGGTACCAACGACGTCCCGATGGGTACCAACGACGTCCCGATGGGTTCCAACGAGGTCCCGATGGGTTCCAACGAGATCCCGATGGGTTCCAATGAGATCCCGATGGGATCCAACGAGCTCCAGCCGCAGGATCCGGCCGAGGTGGACGACCTGGACCCCGGCACCATTGACCAACTCATCGAGCTCTCCAGCAAACTCCACCTCCCCGCGGACGACGTCGTGGACATCATCCACGACGTGGAGCAGAAACGCAAGCAAGAGGCCACCATCGGGGCCCCCCCCCGCCTTATCCACCCCCCCCAGCCCCAAAGCCGCCCCGTTCCCATCTCCAATCACATTCCAGGCCGGACTTTCCTGCCCCCCCCACGCCGGCCCCCGCCGCCTCTTCGGGATCGGGAGCTGCAGCGGTACCTGGAGAGGGTTTTGGGGGGCCCCCCAGGGGGTTCCCATAGGGGAGGCACAACCCCTCTCCCCATCCCCAATTAGGACCCCCCCATTTATCCTGCTCTGGGTGTTGTGTTCCTCCCCGTTCCCATTGCTGAGCCCCCCCCCATGTCCTATGCCCCCCAATTCCAGCTCCTGCCCCCACAATTCCAACCCGGTTTCATCCCTGGAATTGCCCCACTTCCAGCCCTAGACTCCCCCCCTCCATCCTTAGGACCCCCCCCCCCCCAATTCCAGCCCTAGAGACCCCCCCATGGGGGGGGTTGTAAATACCCCATCATTGACTTTTGCTATCGAATAAAAGCGACTATTTTAGTATGAGTTACCCTCGATCCTGGGGGGGGGGCCCTCCCAACCCCCCCCGCACCCCCATATTGGCCCCATGACCCCCCCACCCACTATAACCCAGCACCCCAAAAGAACTCAGCACGGGGGGGGGGGCTCCATAAGCTTTATTCCATAGGGGGGACAGCACGAGGATGGTCCCATTATTTGGGGGGTCCCCAAATGAGTGACCCCCCCAAAGGAGGGAACCCCCAAGGGACAAGGGGGGGGGTTCCTGTCACCACCCCCCCCAGCACCCCAAAAAGGGTCACTTTGGGGGGGGGGCACCCACTTGTGATTCCCCCCCCCCAAAAACAGGGTCCATGGGGGGGGGGCACAGGGACCCTGCAGCGCTGCCCCCCCCCCAATAAGGGGATGCCCCCCATATATATATATATTTACAGCTTGTGGGGGGCCTTTTGGGGTGCCTCCCCCTCCCTGTTCTTGTGTCCAGGGTTGGTCCCATGTGGATGAATGGGGGGGGGAGGGGCATTAATATGGGGGTGTCCCCCCCACACCCCATAAGGGTGGGCTATGCCAGCCCCATCTCTTCCAGCACGCTGCGGGGGGACTCATCCTCCTATGGGGGGGGGGAAATGGGTTAGGGTTGGGGGGCAGAAGGGGTGGGATAAAGGGGAACCCCCCCCTCCCAAATGACATACGGGGGTCCTCTATGCATGGGGTGACAGCACCCACCTATGGGGGGGCATAAAGAGAGGACCCCCCCCAAAACATATATGGGGGTGCCCTATATATATGGAGTGCTGCTTACCCACAGGGGGGGCATAAAGAGGGGACCCCCCCCAAATGACACATGGGGGTCCCTTATATATGGGGTGACAGCGCCCACTTATGGGGGGGGCAAAAGGCACAAGAAGGCCCTATATTGGGGGCACCATGGTCCTATGGGGGGGTGGGTATGGGAGCAGCTGGGGTCTATAGGGGATGTTGGGGTATAGCAGGACTTCATCAGTGAGCTACAGGGGACTTTAAGGGGGTATCAAGACCCTACAGGGGGCCTATAGGGGTGTTAGGGGTCCCCCTATAGGGGTTATAGGGCCCCCCTATAAGGGACTTTGGGGGGGGTCAAGAGGACCTCATAGAGGGGGTCTATAGGGGATCTGGGGGGGCACCATGATCCTATGGGGGGGCTATAGGGGTATTAGGGGGCTATAAGGGACACTGTGGGGGACCAGGACATCATAGGGGGGGTCTATAGGGGATCTGGGGGGGGCACCATGATCCTATGGGGGGGCTATAGGGGTATTAGGGGGCTATAAGGGACACTGTGGAGGACCAGGACATCATAGGGGGGTCTATAGGGGATCTGGGGGGGGCACCATGATCCTATGGGGGGGCTATAGGGGTATTAGGGGGCTATAAGGGACTTTGTGGGGGACCAGGACATCCTGGGGGGTCTATAGGGGATTTGGGGATCCTATGGGGGGGGGTCTATGAGAGTAGTTGGATTCTATAGGGGACACTTGAAGGGTACCAGGACTCTAAATGGGGCCTCTAGGGTTGTTGAACCTATAGGGGGGGTGTGGGGCACCATGATGCTATGGGAGTGTTAAGGGGGGGTACCAGGATGCTATATGAGGTCCATAGGGGACTCTGGGGAGCACCAGCACCTCGGGGGGGGGGGGGGGCGGCTGTGGGGGTCCATAGGTTAATTTTGGGGGTTCCATAGGAGTGTCTGGGGGGGGGGGGTGTCCATAGAGGTGTTTGGGGTATTCCATAGGTGAGTTTGGAGGTTCCATATGGGTGCTCCATAGGGGTGCTGGGGGTTCCACAGGGGCGTTTGGGGGCTCCATAGGGGAGGTTTGGGATGTTCCATAGGGGTGCTATGGGGTGTTCCATAGGGGTGTCTAGGGGGCCCTTGGGGGGGTTTGAGGGTGTTCCACAGGGGTGCTCCATAGGGGTGCTACGGGATGTTCCACAGGGGTGCTCCATAGGGGTGTTCCATAGGGGTTTTCCACAGGGGGGCTATGGGGTGTTCCATAGGGGTGTCTAGGGGGGCCCTTGGGGGGTTTGAGGGTGTTCTACAGGGGTGCTCCATAGGGGGTGCTACGGGATGTTCCACAGGGGTGCTCCATAGGGGTGTTCCATAGGGGTGCTCCATAGGGGTGCTATGGGGTGTTCCACAGGGGTGCTCCATAGGGGTGTTCCATAGGGGTTTTCCATAGGGGTGCTATGGGGTGTTCTACAGGGGTGCTCCATAGGGGTGCTATAGGGCGCCCCATAGGGGTGCTCCATAGGGGTGCTCCCTAGGGGTGCTCTGGGATGCTCCCAAGGAGTACTCTGGGGTGTTCCCTAGGGGTGCTCTGGGGTGCTCCCTAGGGGTGTTCCATAGGGGTGCTCCATAGGGCTGCTCTGGGGTGTTCCCTGGAGTTGCTCTGGGGTGCTCCATAGGGGTGCTCTGGGGTGCTCCCAAAGGGTGCTACGGGGTGCTCCATAGGGGTGCTCCCTAGGGCTGCTCTGGGGTGCCCCCTAGGGCTGCTCTGGGGTGCTCCATAGGGGTGCTCCCTAGGGGTGCTATGGGGTGCTCCATAGGGGTGCTCTGGGGTGCTCCCTAGGGGTGCTATGGGGTGCTCCATAAGGGTGCTCCCTAGGGGTGCTGTGGGGTGCTCCATAGGGGTGCTGTGGGGTGCTCCCAAAGGGTGCTCTGGGGTGCTCCCTAGGGGTGCTATGGGGTGCTCCATAAGGGTGCTCCCTAGGGCTGCTCTGGGGTGCCCCCTAGGGCTGCTCTGGGGTGCTCCATAGGGGTGCTCCCTAGGGCTGCTCTGGGGTGCCCCCTAGGGCTGCTCTGGGGTGCTCCATAGGGGTGCTCCCTAGGGGTGCTATGGGGTGCTCCATAGGGGTGCTCTGGGGTGCTCCCTAGGGGTGCTATGGGGTGCTCCATAAGGGTGCCCCCTAGGGGTGCTGTGGGGTGCCCCCTAGGGGTGGAAGGGGGTCCCTGACCTCCTGCAGCAGATCCGCCTGCTCGATGGCCTTGAGGACGCTCTTCTTGGAGGTGTCCTGGATCTCGCCGCCCATCACGAACTCGTCCAGGATGAAGTACGCCTTCTCGAAGTTGAAGATGATGTCGAGCTCGCAGACCTGCCCGGAGAGCCCTCCATGGACCTGCTGCCCCCCAGCCCCACGGGATGGAGCTTGGGGTGCACCCAGGACCATGGGATGGAGCTTGGGGTGGGTTCAGGACCATGGGATGGAGCTTGGGGTGCACCCAGGACCATGGGATGGAGCTTGGGGTGCACCCAGGACCATGGGATGGAGCTTGGGGTGGGTTCAGCACCATGGGATGGAGCTTGGGGTGGTCCCAGGAACATGGGATGGAGCTTGGGGTGCTCCCAGGACCATGGGATGGAGCTTGGGGTGCTCCCAGGACCATGGGATGGAGCTTGGGGTGGGTTCAGGACCATGGGATGGAGCTTGGGGTGCACCCAGGACCATGGGATGGAGCTTGGGGTGGTCCCAGCCCCATGGGATGGAGCTTGGGGTGCACCCAGCCCCATGGGATGGAGCTTGGGGTGCACCCAGGACCATGGGATGGAGCTTGGGGTGGGTTCAGGACCATGGGATGGAGCTTGGGGTGGGTTCAGGACCATGAGATGGAGCTTGGGGTGGGTTCAGGACCATGGGACGGAGCTTGGGGTGGGTTCAGGACCATGAGATGGAGCTTGGGGTGGGTTCAGGACCATGGGACGGAGCTTGGGGTGGGTTCAGGACCATGGGATGGAGCTTGGGGTGGGTTCAGGACCATGGGATGGAGCTTGGGGTGGGTTCAGGACCATGAGATGGAGCTTGGGGTGGTCCCAGGACCATGGGATGGAGCTTGGGGTGGGTTCAGCACCATGGGATGGAGCTTGGGGTGCTCCCAGGACCATGGGATGGAGCTTGGGGTGCTCCCAGGACCATGGGATGGAGCTTGGGGTGGTCCCAGCCCCATGGGATGGAGCTTGGGGTGGTCCCAGCCCCATGGGATGGAGCTTGGGGTGGGTTCAGTCTCATGGGATGGAGCTTGGGGTGGGTTCAGGACCATGGGATGGAGCTTGGGGTGGGTTCAGGACCATGGGATGGAGCTTGGGGTGGGTTCAGTCCCATGGGATGGAGGTTGGGGTGGGTTCAGGACCATGGGATGGAGCTTGGGGTGGGCTCAGGACCATGGGATGGAGCTTGGGGTGGGTTCAGTCCCATGGGATGGAGGGTGGGGTGGGTTCAGGACCATGGGATGGAGCTTGGGGTGGGTTCAGGACCATGGGATGGAGGTTGGGGTGGGTTCAGGACCATGGGATGGAGCTTGGGGTGGGCTCAGGACCATGGGATGGAGCTTGGGGTGGGTTCAGGACCATGAGATGGAGCTTGGGCTGGGTTCAGGACCATGGGATGGAGCTTGGGGTGCTCCCAGGACCATGGGATGGAGCTTGGGGTGGGTTCAGTCTCATGGGATGGAGCTTGGGGTGGGTTCAGGACCATGGGATGGAGCTTGGGGTGGGTTCAGGACCATGGGATGGAGCTTGGGGTGGGTTCAGTCCCATGGGATGGAGCTTGGGGTGGGCCTGGTATCTGTGGGGTGATCCTGGTGGCCATTGGGTGTTCCTGGGGGTGTGCCTGTGGTGCCCATGGGGGTGCCAATGGTGGTTTCCATGGGGTGCTCAATGGGGTGTCCCTGGGGGTGTCCATCGGGGTTCCAATGAGGGTGCCCATTGGGGATGCCCATTGGGGATGCCCATTGGGGTGTCTATGGGGTGCCTAGGCGGGTGCTCATGGTGCCCATTGGGGTGACCATGGGTGTCCCTGGGGTATCAATGGGATTTCTATGGGGTGTCTCTGGGGTGTCCACGGGACGTCTATATTGTGTCTATGTGGTGTCCATGGGGTGTGTATGGGGTGTCTATGGGGTGTCCATGGGATGTCTATGGGTTGTCCATGGTTTGTCTATGGGGTGCCCATGGGATGTCTACGGGGTGCCTAGGGGGTGTCAATGGGATGTCTATGGGGTGCCTATGGGATGTCTGTGGAGGTCTATGGGGTGTCTATAGGGTATCCATGCGGTGTCCATGGGGTCTCTATGGGATGTCTATAATATGTCAATGGGATATCCATGGGGCGTCTATGTGGTGTCCATGGGATGTCAATGGGGTGTCCATGAGATGTCTATAGGTTTTCTATGGGATGTCTATGGGGTGCCCATGGGGTGTCTATGGGCTGTCCATGGGGTGTCTATGGGGTGCCCATGGGATGTCTATGGGGGGTCTATGGGGTGTCTATAGGGTATCCATGGGGTCTCTATGGGGTGTCTATGGGATGTCAATGGGATGTCCATGGGGTGTCTATGGGGTGTCCATGGGGTTTCTATGGGAAGTCTATGGGTTGTCCATGGGGTGTCTATGGGGTGCCCATGGGATGTCTATGGGGTGTCTATGGCGTGTCCATGGGAAGTCTATGGGATGTCTATGGGGTGTCCATGCGAAGTCTATGGGTTGTCCATGGGGTATCTATGGGTTGTCCATGGGGTGTCTATGGGTTGTCCATGGGGTGTCTACGGGATGTCAATGGGATGTCCATGGGATGTCTATGGGGTGTCTATGGCATGTCTATGGGGTGCCTATGGGGTGTCCGTGGGATGTCTATGGGGTGTCTATGGGGTGTCCATGGGGTGTCTATGGGTTGTCCATGGGGTGTCTATGGGGTGTCCATGGGGTATCTATGGGATGTCTACGGGAAGTCTATGGGATGTCTATGGGGTGTCTATGGGATGCCTATGGGAAGTCTATGGGATGTCTATGGGGTGTCTATGGGGCACCCCCACTCACGCTGCCGAAGTACTTGTCGAGCAGCTCCACGTAGCGGTGGATGAGCTCCAGCGTGATGAGTTCATTGTCCTGCCCCTCGATGGCGCAGCAGAAGTAGAGGCTGGCGTACCTGGGGGCAGGCAGCAGGGATGGGGGGGCTGGAGCCAGAACCACCCTAAAACACCCTCAAACAGCCCCAAAACACGTGAAAACACCCCAAAACACCCCCAAACACCCTCAAACCCCCCAAAACGCTCCAAACCACCCTAAACCTCCCCAAACCACCCCAAAACCACCCTAAAACACCCCAAAACACTCCAAAACACCCTAAACCACCCCAAAACACCCTCAAACACCCCAAAACACCCTAAAACACCCCAAAACACCCCAAAAACCCCAAACCACCCTAAACCACCCCAAAACACCCTCCAAAACACCCTCAAACACCCCAAACCACCCTAAAACACCCAAAAACACCCTCCAAAACACCCTCAAACACCCCAAACCACACTAAACCACCACAAAACCACTCCCAAACCACACTTAAAACATCCTCAAACAGCCTAAAACACACTAAACCACCCCAAAACACACCCAGAACATCCTCAAACACCCTCACACACCCCAAACCATCGCCAAACACCTCAAACACCCAAAACCACCCCAAAACACCCCAAAACACCCTCAAACACCCTAAAAGACCACACTAAACCACCCAAAACACCCTAAAACCACTCCCAAACCACCCCAAAACACCCTTAAAACATCCTCAAACACCCTAAAACACACTAAACCACCCCAAAACATACCCAGAACATCCTCAAACACCCCAAACCACCCCCAAACACCCAAAACACCCTAAACCACCCCAAAATACCCTCAAACACCCCAAAACACCCTAAAAACACCCCAAAACCACTCCCAAACCACCCTTAGAACATCCTCAAACATTCTAAAACACACTAAACCACCCCAAAACACACCCAGAACATCCCAAAACACTCCCCAAACACCCTAAACCACACCAAAACATCCCCAAAACACCCTCACCCCCCCCCAAATACCCCCTGAACACCCTCAAACACCCCCAAATACCCCCCGAACACCCTAAAACACCCCAAAACCACCAAAACCCTCACCTTAAACTATCTAAAAACACCTTAAACCCACCCCAAACCCATGGTGGAACCCAACTTGTACCCTAAAAACCATCACAGAACACCCCAAAATCACCCCAAAACTCCCCTGAAGCCACCTTAAACCACCCAAAACCACCCCAAAAAGATGGTGTGGGGTGCTGGGACCCACCTTGCACCCTAAAACCACCCCTACCTACTCCTAGAACCCCCCCAACCACACTAAAACACCCTAAAACCACCCCAAATCCATGGCATGGGGTGCTGGAACCCACCTTGCACCCTAAAACCACCCCAAAACCACCTTAAACCACCTAAATCCACCCAAAAACCACGGTGTGGGGTGATGTAACCTACTTTGCACCCTAAAACCACTCCAAAATATCCCAAAACCATGGTTTGGGGTGGTTTTTGGTGTGTTTGGGGTGGTTTCAAGTGTTTTTGGGGTGGTTTTAGCTTGGTTTCAGGGGGGTTTGGGTTGGTTTTGGGTTGATTTCAGGTGTTTTGGGGTTGGTTGGGGTGGTTTTGTGGTGTTTCTGGGTTGATTTCAAGTGGGCTTGGGGTGATTTTGAGTTGGTTTGGGTTGGTTTCAGGTGGTTTTGGGTCAATTTCAGGTGGTTTTGGAGTGGTCCAGGGTTGGTTTCAGGGGGGTTTGGGGTGATTCGGGGTTGGCTTGGGTGGTTTTGGGTCGATTTCAGGTAGTCTTGGGGTTGTTTGGGTTGGTTTGGGGGTGATTTCAGGTTGTTTTGAGGTGATTTCAGGTGTTTCTGGGCTGGTTTGGGTGTTCTTGGGTCAATTTCAAGTGCGTTGGGGTTGGTTTGGGTGATTTTGGGGTAGATTTTAGTGGGTTTCGGGGTGATTTTGGGTAGGTTGGGTGTTTTTGGATTGATTTTAGGTGGTTTTGGGTCAATTTCAGTTGGTTTTGGGTTAGGCTGGGTGGTTTTGGGGAGTTTTGGGGTCTATTTCAGGTATTTCTGGGGTGTTTTGGGGTCGATTTCAGGTGGTTTTGGGTCAATTTCAGGTGGGTTTGGAGTGATTTCAGGTGTTTTGGGGTTGGTTTGGTTGTTTTTAGGTCTATTTCAAGTGGTTTTGGGTGTTTTTTGGGGGTCTATTTCAGGTGGGTTTGGGGTGATTCGAGTTGGTTTGGGGGTGATTTCAGGTGTTTCTGAGCTGGTTTGGGTGGTTTTGGGTAGATTTAGTAGTTTTTGGGTGATTTGGGGTTGGTTTGTGTAGTTTTGGGTTGATTTCAGGTGGTTTTGGGTCAATTTCAGGGAGTTTTGGGTTAGTCTGGGTGGTTTTGGGGTGTTTTCGGGGTCGATTTCAGGTAATTTTGGGGTGGTTTTGGGTCAATTTCAGGTAGTTTGGGTGTTTCTGAGTCGATTTCAGGGGGGTTTGGGTGTTTCTGAGTCGATTTCAGGTGGTTTTGGTTCAATTTCAGGGGGTTTGGGTGTTTCTGGGGTGTTCTGGGGTCGATTTCAGGTGGATTTGGGTGTTTCAGGGCCGATTTCAGGTGTTTCTGGGTTGATTTCAGGTGGATTTGGGTCGGTTTCAGGTAGATTGGGGTGTTTCTGGGTCAATTTCAGGTGGTTTTGGGTGCTTCTGGGTTGATTTCAGGTGGATTTGGGTGTTTCTGGGTCAATTTCAGGTGGGTTTGGGTGTTTCAGGGTCGATTTCAGGTGGGTTTGGATGTTTCTGGGTTGATTTCAGGTGGGTTTGGGTTGATTTCAGGTGGATTTGGGTGTTTCTGGGTCGATTTCAGGTGTTTTTGGGTGTTTCTGGGTCGGTTTCAGGTGGATTTGGGCATTTTGGGGCTGGTTTTGGGGGATTTGGGTGCTTCTGGTTCAATTTCAGGTGGATTTGGGTCCATTTTCAGGTGGTTTTGGGTGTTTCGGGGGTTTGGGCCGATTTCAGGTGTTTCTGGGTCAATTTCAGTTGGATTTGGGTGTTTCTGGGTCGATTTCAGGTGGGTTTGGGTGTTTCTGGGTCGATTTCAGGTGGGTTTGGGTGTTTCTGGGTTGATTTCAGGTGGGTTTGGGTGTTTCTGGGTCGATTTCAGGTGGGTTTGGGTGTTTCTGGGTTGATTTCAGGTGGGTTTGGGTGTTTCTGGGTCGATTTCAGGTGGTTTTGGTTGTTTCTGGGTGAATTTCAGGTGGTTTTGGGTGTTTCTGGGTGAATTTCAGGTTTTTTGGGGTGTTTCTGGGTGAATATCAGGTGTTTCTGGGTGAATTTCAGGTGTTTTTGGGTGTTTCTGGGTCGATTTCAGGTGGTTTTGGGTGTTTCTGGGTGGATTTCAGGTGGTTTTGGGTGTTTCTGGGTCAATTTCAGGTGGTTTTGGGTGTTTCTGGGTCGATTTCATGTGTTTTGTGTGTTTCTGGGTGAATTTCAGGTGTTTTTGGGTGTTTCTGGGTCGATTTCAGGTGGTTTTGGTTGTTTCAGGGCCGATTTCAGGTGTTTTGTGTGTTTCTGGGTGGATTTCAGGTGGTTTTGGGTGTTTCTGGGTGGATTTCAGGTGTTTCTGGGTGAATTTCAAGTGTTTTTGGGTTGGATTTCAGGTGTTTTTGGGTGTTTCTGGGTGGATTTCAGGTGTTTTTGGGCTGGTGTCAGGGGTTTTGGTGCCGGTTCGGGTGCTGTCACCTCTTGTAAACCACCTTGAGGTCCCTCCACTCCAGGAAGCTGCACATCTTGGGCTTGCGCGCCAGCACCACCTGCATCAGCTCCCGCACCAGCTTCTTCTTGTCCCTGTCGGCCGTGGCCAGGAACCACTTCTGCAGGCGGAGCTTCCCCTGCCGGCTGAACAGCAGCATGAACCGCATCTGCGGGGACAGCGGGCGCTGTGGGCTGGGGTAGCTGGGGGGGGATATGGGGGGTGCTGTGGGGCTGGGGATCGCTATGGGGCTGGGGTGGACGTGGGAGTCGCTGCGGGGCTGGGGGGGGTGCTATGGGGCTGGAGGGGACGTGGGGTTCGCTGTGGGGCTGCGGGGTATATGGGGGTCACTGCAGGGCTGGAGGGGACATGGGGGTCGCTGTGGTGCTGCGGGGGTCATAGGGGTTGCTGTGGGGCTGGAGGGTACATGGGGGTGGCTATGGGGCTGGGGGGACATGGGGGTTGCTGTGGGGCTGGGGGTCGCTATGGGGTTGGGGGGGACAAAGGGGTCGCTGTGGGGCTGGAAGGCACACGGGGGGTGCTACGGGGCTGGAAGGCACATGGGGGTTGCTATGGGGCCGGAAGGCACACGGGGGTTGCTATGGGGCTGGAAGGCACACGGGGGTCGCTATGGGGCTGGAAGGCACACGGGGGTCGCTATGGGGCTGGAAGGCACACGGGGGTCGCTATGGGGCTGGGGGGGGACACAGGGGTAGCTGTGGGGCTGGAAGACACACGGGGGGCACTATGGGGCTGGGGGGGCATAGGGGTCGCTGTGGGGCTGGAAGGCACATGGGGGACATTATGGGGCTGGGCGTGACATGGGATCGCTGTGGGGCTGGGGTAGCTATGGGTCTGGGGTGGACGTGGGAGTCACTGTGGGGCTGTTGGGTTGCCATGGGGCTGGAAGGCACACAGGGGTTGCTGTGGATCTGGGGTGGGTCAGAGGGGTCGCTGTGGCGCTGGAAGGCACACGGGGGTCGCTATGGGGCTGGGGAGCACACGGGGGTCGCTGTGGGGCTGGGGGTGACATGGAGGTCACTGTGGGGCTGGGGGTTGCTATGGGGCTGGGGTGGACATGGGAGCCGCTGTGGGGTTGCTATGGGGCTGGAAGGGGACACAGGAGTTGCTGTGGATCTGGAGGGGGACAGAGGGGTCGCTGTGGGGCTGGAAGGCACACGGGGGTTGCTATGGGGCTGGAAGGCACACGGGGGTCGCTATGGGGCTGGGGGGACAAAGGGGTCGCTATGGGGCTGGAAGGCACACGGGGGTCACTATGGGCTATGGGGCTGGGGGGAGACAGAGGGGTGGCTGTGGGGCTGGAAGGCACACGGGGGTCTGTGGGGCTGGGGGGGACAGAGGGGTCGCTACGGGGCTGGAAGTCACACGGGGGTCGCTATGGGGCTGGAAGGCCAACGGGGGTCACTACGGGGCTGGAAGTCACACGGGGGTCACTATGGGGCTGGAACTCACACGGGGGTCGCTATGGGGCTGGAAGGCACATGGGGGTCGCTATGGGGCTGGAAGTCACACGGGGGTCGCTATGGGGCTGGAAGTCACACGGGGGTCGCTATGGGGCTGGAAGTCACACGGGGGTCGCTATGGGGCTGGGGGGAGGGTGTCCATGGGAGTCGCTGTGGGTCTGAGTTCAGGATGCGGACAGACCATGGTTAGGTCGGTCGGTCTGTTGGTCACATGACACCATCGGGGCACATGATCGCTCCTCCACATGACCGACCCTCCCTCCCTCCCTCCTCAGAGCCCCCCCCTCCCCTCCCCCTCCCCCTCCCTCACCATGGCGGCGGTCCCGGTATCCCGGATGTTCCGGTGCTCCCGGTGCCGTTGTGCTCCCGCTGCCGTTACCGCGCTGTTCCCGGTATCCGGTGCCGTTATCCCGCTGTCCCGGTGCCGTTATCCCGCTTTCCCGGTACCCCGGGGCCCACTCCCGGCTCTCCCCCCCCCCCCCCCCCGTTACGATCGCTCCCGGCCTCTCTGCCGCCGCTCTCCTCAGGCCCAGCCGCACCGCGCATGCGCCGGAACTTCCGGGAAGGGGAAGGGCGGAGCTTGTTGCTAAGGGCAACGGGGGGGGAGGTGGGCGGGGTTACCGCGGGGCGTTGTCATAGCAACGGGGAGCGGCGGGAGGGGGAACCGTGGGGCTTCCTGGTAACGGTTGCGGGGGTGTTTCCATGGCAACGGGCGGGACTCTTGTGGTGGAGGGGGGGTCTGTGGGCTGTTGTGGGGGAGTTTGGGGGTGCTGGGTGCTGGTATTGGTGTGCTGGGGGGTCCGAGGTTGCCATAACCAAAGCCTGTGCCCCATATCCGCACCCCACATCCCCATTCCCACCACACATCCCCCCCCCCCATTCCCACCCCATCACCTCCATTCCCACCACACATCCCCCCCCCCCATTCCCACCCCATCACCCCCATTCCCACCCCACATCCCCCCCCCCATTCCCACCCCATCACCCCCATTCCCACCACACATCCCCCCCCCCCATTCCCACCCCATCACCCCCATTCTCACCCCACATCCCCCACATCCCCATTCCCACCCCATCACCCCCATTCTCACCCCACATCCCCCCCCCCATTCCCACCCCATCACCCCCATTCCCACCCCACATCCCCCACATCCCCATTCCCACCCCATCACCCCCATTCTCACCCCACATCCCCCACATCCCCATTCCCACCCCATCACCCCCATTCCCACCCCACATCCTCCCCCCCATTCCCACCCCATTACCCCCATTCCCACCACACATCCCCCACATCCCCATTCCCACCCCATCACCCCCATTCTCACCCCACATCCCCCACATCCCCATTCCCACCCCATCCCCCACATCCCCGTTCCCACCCCATCCCCTCACCCCATTCCCACCCCACATCCCCCCCATGCCCATTCCCACCCCACATCCCCCCCATGCCCATTTCCACCCCACATCCCCCTCACCCCCATTCCCACCCCACATCCCCCACATCCCCATTCCCACCCCATCCCCCACATGCCCATTCCCACCCCGTCCCCCTCACCCCCATTCCCACCCCACATCCCCCCCGTGCCCATTCCCACCCCATCCCCACATGCCCATTCCAACCCCATCCCCCACATCCCCATTCCCACCCCATCCCCTCACCCCCATTCCCACCCCACATCCCCCTCACCCTCATTCCCACCCCACATTCCCCACATCCCCATTCCCACCCCAGAACCCCACATGCCCATTCCCACCCCACATCCCCATTCCCACCCCTCACCCCCATTCCCACCCCACATCCCCCCCATGCCCATTCCCACCCCACATCCCCCTCAACCCCATTCCCACCCCACATCCCCCCCATGCCCATTCCAACCCCATCCCCCTCACCCCCACTCCCACCCCACATCGCCCTCACCCCCATTCCCACCCCACATTCCCCACATGCCCATTCCCACCTCTCACCCCCATTCCCACCCCACATCCCCCCCATGCCCATTCCCACCCCACATCCCCCTCTCCCCCATCCCCACATCCCCATTCCCACCCCTCACCCCCATTCCCACCCCACATCGCCCTCACCCCATTCCCACCCCACATCCCCCCCATGCCCATTCCCACCCCACATCCCCCTCACCCCCATTCCCACCCCAGAACCCCACATGCCCATTCCCACCCCACATCCCCATTCCCACCCCTCACCCCCATTCCCACCCCACATCCCCCCCATGCCCATTCCCACCCCACATCCCCATTCCCACCCCATCCCCCACATCCCCGTTCCCACCCCATCCCCTCACCCCCATTCCCACCCCACATCCCCCCCATGCCCATTTCCACCCCACATCCCCCTCACCCCCATTCCCACCCCACATCCCCCACATCCCCATTCCCACCCCATCCCCCACATGCCCATTCCCACCCCGTCCCCCTCACCCCCATTCCCACCCCACATCCCCCCCGTGCCCATTCCCACCCCATCCCCACATGCCCATTCCAACCCCATCCCCCACATCCCCATTCCCACCCCATCCCCTCACCCCCATTCCCACCCCACATCCCCCTCACCCTCATTCCCACCCCACATTCCCCACATCCCCATTCCCACCCCAGAACCCCACATGCCCATTCCCACCCCACATCCCCATTCCCACCCCTCACCCCCATTCCCACCCCACATCCCCCCCATGCCCATTCCCACCCCACATCCCCCTCACCCCCATTCCCACCCCACATCCCCCCCATGCCCATTCCAACCCCATCCCCCTCACCCCCACTCCCACCCCACATCGCCCTCACCCCCATTCCCACCCCACATTCCCCACATGCCCATTCCCACCTCTCACCCCCATTCCCACCCCACATCCCCCCCATGCCCATTCCCACCCCACATCCCCCTCTCCCCCATCCCCACATCCCCATTCCCACCCCTCACCCCCATTCCCACCCCACATCGCCCTCACCCCATTCCCACCCCACATCCCCCCCATGCCCATTCCCACCCCACATCCCCCTCACCCCCATTCCCACCCCACATCCCCCACATCCCTATTCCAACCCCTCACCCCCATTCCCACCCCTTACCCCCATTCCCACCCCACATCCCCCCCATGCCCATTCCCACCCCACATTCCCATTCCCACCCCATCCCGTGCCCATCCACAGTGGGTCAGGACAGGCTTTGGGCCACACCTGGAGGTGTCTCCTGGATCCCATGGGCTCCATGGGCCCTCCCTTGCCCCACAAGTCCCATGGGTGCCCCCTTTACTGGAACGGGCGTTGACAGCTCCAGTTCCACCCTTCCCTTTGGGATCAAAGGTCCTCCCGGTGCCGCTCCGTGCCCCATTCCCATCTCGCCACAGCCGGGGCCGGATCCCGGCGCCTTCCCAGCGCCCCACAGGGATGTGGGGTCGCCAGTTGGGTGCCATTGCCTTGCTCTGTGTCTCCCTCCTGCTCCTCCTCAGAGGTGGGTGCTGCACCCAAGGGTGCTGGAGGTCTGGGTTTGGGGTCCCCCCCCCAGTGTGAATTGGGTGCTATGGGGGTGCTTGGGGGGGTCACGGGCTTTTAAGACCCAACTGGGGGGGTCTTTGGGGGTCATCTTTGGGGGATGTTGGTCAATGCTGATATATTTGGGGGTCTAAGGGGTTTGGGGGGATCTTGGGGGGTCTTTGGGGGCATCTTTGGGGAATGTTGGTCAATGGTTGATGTCTTTGGGGGTCTATGGGGTTTTGGGGGGTCTTGGTGGGTCTTTGGGGTCATCTTTGGGGGATGTTGGTCAATGGTTGATGTCTTTGGGGGTCTATGGGGTTCAGTCTTGGTGGGTCTTTGGGGTCATCTTTGGGGGACGTTGGTCAATGATTAATGTCTTTGGGGGTCTATGGGGTTTTGGGGGGTCTTGGTGGGTCTTTGGGGTCACCTTTGGGGGTTGTTGGTCAATGGTTGATGTCTTTGGGGGTCTTGGGGGTTTGGGGGGTCTTTGGGGGTTTTTGGAGACCCAATGCAAGTGTATGGGGACACTGGTCAATGGTTGATGTCTTTGGGGATCTTGGGGTCTTTGGGGACCCAAGGACAGGTCTATGGGGGACGTTGGTCAATGGTTGATGTCTTTGGGGGTCTATGGGGTATTGGGGGTCTTAGTGGGCCTTTGGGGACATCTCTGGGGGATGTTGGTCAATGGTTGATATCTTTTAGGGATCCATGATGTTTAGGGGGTCTTGGTGACATCTTTGGAGACGCAAAGGCAGGTCTGTGGGGGATGTTGGTCAATGGTTGATGTCTTTGGGTATCTTGGGGGTCTTTGGAGACTCAAGGACAGGTCTATGGGGGATGTTGGTCAATGGTTGATGTTTTTGGGGGTCCATGAGGTTTTGGGATCCAACTGGGAGTCTTGGGACGTCTTTGAGAGTCTTTGGAGACCCAAGGGCAGGTCTATGGGGGATGCTGGTCAATGGTTGATGTTTTGGGGGGTCCATGAGGTTTTGGGATCCACCTGGGAGCCTTTGGATGTCTTTGAGAGTCTTTGGAGACCCAAGGGCACATCTATGGGGGATGTTGGTCAATGGTTGATGTCTTTGGGGGTCTATTGGGTCTTTGGAGACCCAAGGGCAGGTCTATGGGGGATGTTGGTCAATGGTTGGTCTTTGGGGGGTCTGTTGGGTCTTTGGAGACCCAAGGGCAGGTCCATGGGGGACGTTGGTCAATGGTCGATGTCTTTGGGGGTCTGTTGGGTCTTTGGAGACCCAAGGGCAGGTCCATGGGGGATGTTGTTCCATGGTCTATGGGCTGGATGAGGATCCCACCAATACTTCTGGTTGGGGTCACCAAGGAAGACCCAAGTGGATGAGGCCCTTGGGAGACGCCCAGGATGTTCTGGGAACGTCGAGAGCAGCTTCCTTGTGGCGGGAGGTGGGAGCATCAGGAGGGCAGAGCCAGAGCAACCTGCTTGGAGCATCCCTATGGGATAAAGCAGGGATGAGGAGACCGAGGAAGCTCAGTGGTCAAGGGCCACCTTCTTCAAGCTTATTCCACAGAGGAGCACCATGGGTGGACAAGAAACTTCTGGAAAAGCCTGGAGAAGAGAAGGCTCCTTAAGGGGAGCAGCTCCAGTGCCTAAAGGGGCTACAGGAAACCGGGAGAAGGGCTTTGAATAAGGGATGGGATAAGGAGGAAGGGCTCCAACTGGAAAAGGGAAGAGTTGACTTGGATCTAAGGGAGACGTTTTCCATTGGGATCGTGGGGCAGGGGTCCCAGATGTGGCTGCCCCATCCCTGGCAGTGTTCAAGGCCAGGTTGGACACAGGGCTTGGAGCATCCTGTTCCAGTGGAAGGTGTCTCTGCCCATTGAACTGGGTGAGATTTGAGGTCCCTTCCATCCCGACCCATTCCAGGATTACATGTTTCGGGATCCATGTGTCTTTGTGACATCTCATCTCCATCACAGGTGACTTCAACCAGTGTGGAGCATGGGACATGGGACAGGCACAAAGGCAGAGGTTGCCTGCAAATGGCGTGGGATGGACCTGGAATGCCAAGGACGTGAGGCTGAAGGACCGGGATGAAGAACCTGAAGTGGTGCCTGGCAGATGGAATGCAAAGGCCCAAGTAGAGGAGGTGGAGAAGAAAAGAATCAGGAGAGGAGCTGGGACAGGAACAAGCAGGGAGAGAGGAGCAAAGGAAACAACCGCTTTGGAAGCTGGAACCACTTTGGAAACTGGAACCACCTTGGAAACTGGAACCACTTTGGAGTCTGCAGCCTCTTTCGAGACTGGAAACAGTTCTGAACCTGCAAGCAGTTTGGAAATTGGAGCCACTTTGGAAAATGGAACCACTTTGGACACTGGAACTACTTTGGAAACTGGAACAACTTTGAAATCTACAACAACTCTGGAGACTTTAGCCACTTTGGGGACTGGAACAACTTTGGAAACTTCAAGAACTTTGGAGTCTGCAACCAGTTTGGAAGCTGGAACCACGTTGGAGACTGGAACCACTTTGGAGACTGGAACCACTTTGGAACCTACAACCACTTTGGAAACTGGAACCACTTTGGAGACTGGACCCACTTTGAAGACTGCAGCCTCTTTCGAGACTGGAACCACTTTTGAACCTGCAACCACCTGGGAAACTGGAGCCAGCTTGGAAACTGGAACCACTTTGGAAACTGGAACCACTTTGGAAACTGGAGCCACTTTGGAGACTGGAACCACTTTTGAACCTGGAACCACATTGGAAACTGGAAGAACTTTGGAATCTGTGACCACTATGGAAACTGGAACTACTTTTGAAGCTGCAACCACTTTAGAAACTGGAACCAATTTGGAGACTGGAGCCACTTTGCAGACAGCAGCCTCTTTCGAGGCTGGAACCACTTTTGAACCTGGAACCACTTTGGAATCTGTGACCGCGATGGAAACTGGAACCGCTTTGGTGCCTGAAACCACTTTGGAAACTTCAACAACTTTGGAGTCTGCAATCACTTTGGAAACTGGAGCCACTTTGGAGACTGCAACCACTTTGCAGACTGGAAGAACTTTGGAACCTACAACCACTTTGGAAACTGGAACCACTTTGGAACCTACAACCACTTCGGAAAGTGGAACCACTTTGGAGACTGAACACACTTTTGAGACTGCAGCCTCTTTCGAGACTGGAACCACTTTTGAGCCTGGAACTACTTTTGAACCTGCAACCACTTTGGAATCTGGACCCACTTTTGAGACTGCAGCCTCTTTCGAGACTGGAACCACTTTTGAACCTGGAACTACTTTGGAAACTGGAACCACTTTGGAATCTGGACCCACTTTTGAGACTGCAGCCTCTTTCGAGACTGGAACCACTTCGAAATCTACAACCACTTTTGAACATGGAACCACAATAGAGACTGGAGCCACTTTGGAAACTTCAACAACTTTGGAGTCTACAACCACTTCGGAAACTGGAGCCACTTTAGAGACTGCAACCACTTTGGAGACTGGAACCACTTTTGAACATGGAACCACTTTAGAAACTGGAACCACTTTGGAAACTGGAGCCACTTTGGGGACTGGAGCCACTTTGGAGACTGGAACCACTTTTGAACCTGGAGCCACTTTGGAGACCGGAAGAACATTGGAATCTCCAACCACTTTGGAAACTGGAACCACTTTGGAATCTGTGACCACTATGGAAACTAGAACTACTTTTGAACCTGCAATCACTTTAGAAACTGGAACCAATTTGGAGACTGGAACCACTTTTGAAACTGCAACCACTTTGGAAACTGGAACCAATTTGGAATCTGTAACCACTAAGGAAACTGGAAGTACTTTTGAACCTGGAACCACTTTAGAAACTGGAACCAATTTGGAGACTGGAACCACTTTGGAAACTTCAACAACTTTGGAATCTGCAACCACTTTGGAACCTGGAGCCACCTTGGAGATTGCAACCACTTTGGAGACTGCAGCCTCTTTTGAGACTGGAACGACTTTTGAACCTGGAACCACTTTGGAATCTGTGACCACTATGGAAACTGGAAGTATTTTTGAACCTGCAACCACTTTAGAAATTGGAACCACTTTGGAGACTAGAACCACTATGGAAACTTCAACAGCTTTGGAATCTGTAACCACTTTGGAAACTGGATCCACTTTGGAGACTGCAACCACTTTGGAGACTGGAACCACTTCTGAACCTGGAACCACTTTGGAAACTGGAAACACTTTGGAATCTACAACCACTTTGGAAAGTGGAACCACTTTGGAAACTGGAGCCACTTTGGAGACTGCAGCCTCTTTCGAGACTGGAACCACTTTTGAACCTTCAACCACTTTGGAAACTAGAAGCACACTGGAAACTGGAACAACTTTGGAGACTGGAACGACTTTTAAACAGGCAACTATTATAGAGAATGAAACCACTTTGGAATCTGTGACGAGAAAGGAAACTGGAACTACTTTTGAACCTGCAACCACATTAGAAATTGGAACCGCTTTGGAGACCAGAGCCACTTTGGTATCTACAAGCACTTTTGAACCTGGAACCACAATAGAGACTGGAGCCACTTTGGATACTGGAACCACTTCTGAACCTGCAACCACTTGGGAGACTGGAGCCACTTTGGAGACTGGAACCACTTTTGAACCTGGAGCCACTTTGGGGACTGGAAGAACTTTGGAATCTACAACCACTTTGGAAACTGGAACCACTTTGGAAACTGGAACTACTTTGGAGACTGCAACCACTTTTGAGACTGGAAGCACTTTTGAAACTGCAACCACTTTGGAAACTGGAACCACACTGGAAACTGGAACAGCTTTGGAGACTAGAAGAACTTTGGAATCTACAACCATTTTGGAGCCTGGAACTACTTTGGAACCTGTGACCTCTGTAGAAACTAGAACTAATTTTGAACCTGCAACCACTTTAGAAACTGGAACCAATTTGGAGATTGGAACCACTTCGGAAACTTCAACAACTTTGGAATCTGCAACCACTTTGGAAACTGGAGCCACTTTAGAGACTGCAGCCTCCTTCGAGACTGGAACCACTTCTGAACCTGCATCCACTGTGGAGACTGGAACAGCTTTGGAGACTGGAACAACATTGAAATCTACAACCACTTGGGAGACTGGAACCACTTTGGAGACTGGAATGACTTTGGAAACTTCAACAACTTTGGAGTCTGCAATCACCTTGGAAGTTGGAACCACTTTGGAGACCGGAATCACTTTTGATATTTCAACGGCTTTGGAATCTGCAACCACTTTGGAAACTGGAACTTCTTTTGAACCTAGAACCACTTTGGAAACTGGAACCACTTTGGAAACTGCAACTACTTTGGAGAATGCAACCACTTTGGAAACTGCAGCCACTTTTGAGACTGGAACCACTTCTGAACCTGCAATGACTTTGGAAACTGGAAACACTTTGGAAACTGGAACCACTTTTGAGACTGGAGCCACTTTTGAACCTGGAACCACTTTGGAGCCTGGAACCACTTTGGAATCTGTGACGACTATGGAAACCAGAACTACTTTTGAACCTGCAACCACTTTAGAAACTGGAACCAATTTGGAGACTGGAACCACTTCGGAAACTTCAACAACCTTGGAATCTGCAACCACTTTGGAAACTGGAGCCACTTTAGAGACTGAAGCCTCTTTCGAGTCTGGAACCACTTCTGAACCTGCAACCACTGTGGAGACTGGAACAGCTTTGGAGACTGGAACAACTTTGAAGTCTACAACCACTTTGGAGCCTGGAACCACTTTGGAATCTGTGACCACTGTGGAAACTGGCACTACTTTTGAACCTGCAACCACATTGGAAACTGGAACTACTTTGGAAACTGGAACCAATTTGGAAACTGGAACAACTTTGGAATTTGGAACCACACTGGAAACTGGAGCTACTTTGGTTAGTGCAACCACTTTTGAGACTGGAAGCACTTTTGAACCTGCAACCACTTTGGAAACTGGAACCACACTGGAAACTGGAACCACTTTGGAAGCTTCAACAACTTTGGAGTCTGCAATCACTTTGGAAACTGGAACCACTTTGGAGACTGCAGTCTCTTTCGAGACCGGATCTACTTTTGAATCTGTGACCCCTATCGAAACTGGAACTACTTTAGAACCTGCAACCACTTTAGAAATCGGAACCACTTTGGGGACTGGAACAACTTTGGAAACTTCAACAACTTTGGAATCTGCAACCACTTTGGAAACTGGAACCTCTTTGGAGACTGGCACCACTTTGGAGACTGCAGCCTCTTTTGATAGTGGAACCACTTTGGAAACTTCAACAAATTTTGAACCTGCAATCACTTTAGAAATTGGAACCTCTTTGGAGACTGGAACCACTTTGGAAATTTCAACAACATTGGAATCTACAACCACTTTTGAGCCTGGAACCACTTTGGAATCTGTGACCACTGTGGAAACTGGCACTACTTTTGAACCTGCAACCACATTGGAAACTGGAACTACTTTGGAATCTGCAACCACTTTGGAGACAGCAGCCTCTTTTGATAGTGGAACCACTTTGGAAACTTCAACAAATTTTGAAGCTGCATCCACTTCAGAAATTGGAACCTCTTTGGAGACTGGAACCACTTTGGAAATTTCCACAAGTTTGGAATCTGCAATCACTTTGGAGATTGGAACCACTTTGGAAACTGAAACTACTTTGGAGACTGCAACCACTTTTGAGACTGGAAGCACTTTTGAACCTGCAACCACTTTGGAAACTGGAACCACACTGGAAACTGGAACGGCTTTGGAAACTGGAACAACTTTGAAATCTACAACCTCTTTGGAGCCTGGAACCACTTTGGAATCTGTGACCACTGTGGAAACTACCAGTACTTTTGAACCTGCAACCACTTTAGAAATTGGAACCGCTTTGGAGACCGGAACCATTTTGGATGCTTCAACTGCTTTGGAATCTGCAACCACTTTGGAAACTGGAACTTCTTTTGAACCTAGAACCACTTTGGAAACTGGAACCACTTTGGAAACTGGAACTACTTTGCAGACTGCAACCACTTTTGAGACTGGAAGCACTTTTGAACCTGCAACCACTTTGGAAACTGGAACCACACTGGAAACTGGAACAGCTGTGGAGACTAGAAGAACTTTGGAATCTACAACCATTTTGGAAACTGGAACTACTTTGGAATCTGTGACCACTGTGGAAACTGGAACTACTTTTGAACGTGCAACCACTTTAGAAACTGGAACCAATCTGGAGACTGGAACCACTTCGGAAACAACTTTCGAATCTGCATCCACTTTGGAAACTGGAGCCACTTTAGAGACTGCAGACTCTTTCAAGACTGGAACCACTTCTGAACCTGGAACCACTTTGGAAACTGGAACAACGTTGGAAACTGGAACCACTTTGGAAACTGGAACTACTTTGGAGACTGCAACCACTTTTGAGACTGGAAGCACTTTTGAACCTGCAACCACTTTGGAAACTGGAACCACACTGGAAACTGGAACCACTTTGGAAACTTCAACAACTTTGGAGTCTGAAATCACTTTGGAAACTGGAACTACTTTGGAGACTGCAGCCTCTTTTGAGACCAGATCCACTTTTGAATCTGTGACCCCTATCGCAACTGGAACTACTTTTGAACCCTCAACCACTTTAGAAATTGGAACCACTTTGGAGACTGGAACAACTTTGGAGACTGGCACCACTTTGGAATCTGCAATCACTTTGAAAACTGGAACCACTTTGGAGACTGGCACCACTTTGGAGACTGGCACCACTTTGGAGACTGCAGCCTCTTTTGAGAGTGGAACCACTTTGGAAACTTCAACAAATTTTGAACCTGCAACCACTTTAGAAATTGGAACCTCTTTGGAGACTGGAACCACTTTGGAAATTTCAACAACTTTGGAACCTGCAACCACTTTTGAGACTGGAACCACTTTGGAGACTGGAACCACTTTGGAATCTGTGACCACTATGGAAACTATCACTACTTTTGAACCTGCAACCACTTTAGAAATCGGAACCACTTTGAAGACCGGAACCACTTTGGATACTTCAACGGCTTTGGAATCTGCAACCACTTTGGAAACTGGAACTTCTTTTGAACCTGGAACCACTTTGGAAACTGGAACCGCTTTGGAAACTGGAACCACATTGGAGACTGCAACCACTTTTGAGACTGGAAGCACTTTTGAACCTGCAACCACTTTGGAAACTGGAACCACACTGGAAACTGAAACAGCTTTGGAAACTGGAACAACTTTGAAGTCTACAACCACTTTTGAACCTGGAACCACTTTGGAATCTGTGACCACTGTGGAAACTGGAACTACTTTTGAATCTGCAACCACTTTAGAAACTGGAACCAATTTGGAGACTGGAACCACTTCGGAAACTTCAACAACCTTCGAATCTGCAACCACTTTGGAAACTGGAGCCACTTTAGAGACTGCAGCCTCTTTCGAGTCTGGAACCACTTCTGAACCTGCAACCACTGCGGAGACTGGAACAGCTTTGGAGACTGGAACAACTTTGAAATCTACAACCACTTGGGAGACTGGAACCACTTTGGAATCTGTGACCACGATGGAAACTATCACCACTTTTGAACCTGCAACCACTTTAGAAATCGGAACCACTTTGAAGACCGGAACCACTTTGGATACTTCAACGGCTTTGGAATCTGCAACCCCTTTGGAAACTGGAACTTCTTTTGAACCTGGATCCACTTTGGAAACTGGAACCACTTTGGAAACTGGAACCACTTTGGAGACTGCAACCACTTTTGAGACTAGAAGCACTTTTGAACCTGCAACCACTTTGGAAACTGGAACCACACTGGAAACTGGAACAGCTTTGAAATCTACAACCACTTTGGAGACTGGAACCACTTTGGAAACTGGAACCGCTTTGGAGACTGGAGGCCCTTTGGAGACTGAGGCCTCTTTTGAGAGTGACACCACTTTTGAACCTGCAACCACTTTGGAAACTGGAGCCACTTTGGAAACTGGATCCACTTTGGAAACTGGAACCGCTTTTGAACCTGGAACCACGTTGGAGACTGGAAACACTTTGGAAACTGGAACCACACTGGAAACTGGTGCCACTTTGGAAACTGCAACCAGTTTTGAACCTGGAACCACTTTTGAGACTGGAAGAACTTTGGAATCTACAACCAGTTTGGAATCTGTGACCACATATGAAACTGAAACTACTTTTGAACCTGCAACCACTTTAGAAATTGGAACAACTTTGGAGACTGGAACAAGATTGGAAACTTCAACAACTTTGGAGTCTGCAATCACTTTGGAAACTGGAACCACGTTGCAGACTGGAACCACTTTGGAGACTGCAGCCTCTTTTGAGAGTGGAACCACTTTGGAAACTTCAACAAATTTTGGACCTGCAACCACTTTAGAAATTGGAACCTCTTTGGAGACTGGAACCACTTTGGAAATTTCAACAACTTTGGAATCTACAACCCCTTTTGAGACTGGAATCACTATTGAACCTGCAACCACTTTGGAAACTGGAACCACACTGGAAACTGGAACAGCTTTGGAAACTGGAACAACTTTAAAGTCTACAACCACTTTGGAGCCTGGAACCACTTTGGAGCCTGGAACCACTTTGGAATCTGTGACCACTGTGGAAACTGGAAGTACTTTTGAACCTGCAACCACTTTAGAAATTGGAACCACTTTGGAAACTTCAACAACTTTGGAATCTGCAACCACTTTGGAAACTGGAACTTCTTTTGAACCTGGATCCACTTTGGAAACTGGAACCACTTTGGAAACTGGAACCACTTTGGAGACTGCGACCACTTTTGAGACTAGAAGCACTTTTGAACCTGCAACCACTTTGGAAACTGGAACCACACTGGAAACTGGAACAGCTTTGAAATCTACAACCACTTTGGAGACTGGAACCACTTTGGAAACTGGAACCGCTTTGGAGACTGGAAGCACTTTGGAGACTGCAGCCTCTTTTGAGAGTGACACCACTTTTGAACCTGCAAGCACTTTGGAAACTGGAGCCACTTTGGAAACTGGATCCACTTTGGAAACTGGAACCGCTTTTGAACCTGGAACCACGTTGGAGACTGGAAACACTTTGGAAACTGGAACCACACTGGAAACTGGTGCCACTTTGGAAACTGCAACCAGTTTTGAACCTGGAACCACTTTTGAGACTGGAACTACTTTTGAGACTGGAAGAACTTTGGAATCTACAACCAGTTTGGAATCTGTGACCACATATGAAACTGAAACTACTTTTGAACCTGCAACCACTTTAGAAATTGGAACAACTTTGGAGACTGGAACAAGATTGGAAACTTCAACAACTTTGGAGTCTGCAATCACTTTGGAAACTGGAACCACGTTGCAGACTGGAACCACTTTGGAGACTGCAGCCTCTTTTGAGAGTGGAACCACTTTGGAAACTTCAACAAATTTTGGACCTGCAACCACTTTAGAAATTGGAACCACTTTGGAGACTGGAACCACTTTGGAAATTTCAACAACTTTGGAATCTACAACCCCTTTTGAGACTGGAATCACTATTGAACCTGCAACCACTTTGGAAACTGGAACCACACTGGAAACTGGAACAGCTTTGGAAACTGGAACAACTTTAAAGTCTACAACCACTTTGGAGCCTGGAACCACTTTGGAGCCTGGAACCACTTTGGAATCTGTGACCACTGTGGAAACTGGAAGTACTTTTGAAGCTGCAACCACTTTAGAAATTGGAACCACTTTGGAAACTTCAACAACTTTGGAATCTGCAACCACTTTGGAAACTGGAACTTCTTTTGAACCTGCAACCACATTGGAAACTGGAACTACTTTGGAAACTGGAACAACTTTGGAATTTGGAACCACACTGGAAACTGGTGCTACTTTGGTTAGTGCAACCACTTTTGAGACTGGAAGCACTTTTGAACCTGCAACCACTTTGGAAACTGGAACCACACTGGAAACTGGAACCACTTTGGAAACTTCAACAACTTTGGAGTCTGCAATCACTTTGGAAACTGGAACCACTTTGGAGACTGCAGTCTCTTTTGAGACCGGATCTACTTTGGAATCTGTGACCCCTATCGAAACTGGAACTCCTTTCGAACCTGCAACCACTTTAGAAACTGGAACCACTTTGGAGACTGGAACCACTTCGGAAACTTCAACAACCTTGGAATCTGCAACCACTTTGGAAACTGGAGCCACTTTAGAGACTGCAGCCTCTTTCGAGTCTGGAACCACTTCTGAACCTGCAACCACTGTGGAGACTGGAACAGCTTTGGAGACTGGAACAACTTTGAAATCTGCAACCACTTTTGAGACTGGAACCACTTTGGAATCTGTGACCACTATGGAAACTATCACTACTTTTGAACCTGCAACCACTTTAGAAATCGGAACCACTTTGAAGACCGGAACCACTTTGGATACTTCAACGGCTTTGGAATCTGCAACCACTTTTGAGACTGGAACTTCTTTTGAACCTGGAACCACTTTGGAAACTGGAACCGCTTTGGAAACTGGAACTATTTTGGAGACTGCAACCACTTTTGAGACTAGAAGCACTTTTGAACCTGCAACCACTTTGGAAACTGGAACCACACTGGAAACTGAAACAGCTTTGGAAACTGGAACAACTTTGAAGTCTACAACCACTTTTGAACCTGGAACCACTTTGGAATCTGTGACCACTGTGGAAACCGGAACTACTTTTGAACCTGCAACCACTTTAGAAACTGGAACCAATTTGGAGACTGGAACCACTTCGGAAACTTCAACAACCTTGGAATCTGCAACCACTTTGGAAACTGGAGCCACTTTAGAGACTGCAGCCTCTTTCGAGTCTGGAACCACTTCTGAACCTGCAACCACTGTGGAGACTGGAACAGCTTTGGAGACTGGAACAACTTTGAAATCTACAACCACTTGGGAGACTGGAACCACCTGGGAGACTGGAATGACTTTGCAAACTTCAACTAGTTTGGTGTCTGCAATCACCTTGGAAGCTGGAACCACTTTGGAAACTGGAACCACTTTGGAGACTGCAGCCTCTTTCGAGACTGGAACCACTTTTGAACCTGCAACCACTTTGGAAATTGGAGTCACTTTAGAATCTGGAACCACTTTGGAGACTGGAAACACTTTGGAAACTGGAACCGCTTTGGAGACTGCAGCCTCTTTCGATACAGGAACCACTTCTGAACCTGGAACCACTTTGGAAACTGGAACCACTTTGGAAACTTCAACAAATTTTGGACCTGCAACCACTTTAGAAATTGGAACCACTTTGGAGACTGGAACCACTTTGGAAATTTCAACAACTTTGGAATCTACAACCCCTTTGGAAACTGGAATCACTATTGAACCTGCAACCACTTTGGAAACTGGAACCACACTGGAAACTGGAACAGCTTTGGAAACTGGAACAACTTTAAAGTCTACAACCACTTTGGAGCCTGGAACCACTTTGGAGCCTGGAACCACTTTGGAATCTGTGACCACTGTGGAAACTGGAAGTACTTTTGAACCTGCAACCACTTTAGAAATTGGAACCACTTTGGAAACTTCAACAGCTTTGGAATCTGCAACCACTTTGGAAACTGGAACTTCTTTTGAACCTGCAACCACATTGGAAACTGGAACTACTTTGGAAACTGGAACCAATTTGGAAACTGGAACAACTTTGGAATTTGGAACCACACTGGAAACTGGTGCTACTTTGGTTAGTGCAACCACTTTTGAGACTGGAAGCACTTTTGAACCTGCAATCACTTTGGAAACGGGAACCACACTGGAAACTGGAACCACTTTGGAAACTTCAACAACTTTGGAGTCTGCAATCACTTTGGAAACTGGAACCACTTTGGAGACTGCAGTCTCTTTCGAGACCGGATCTACTTTTGAATCTGTGACCCCTATCGAAACTGGAACTACTTTAGAACCTGCAACCACTTTAGAAATCGGAACCACTTTGGGGACTGGAACAACTTTGGAAACTTCAACAACTTTGGAATCTGCAACCACTTTGGAAACTGGAACCTCTTTGGAGACTGGCACCACTTTGGAGACTGCAGCCTCTTTTGATAGTGGAACCACTTTGGAAACTTCAACAAATTTTGAACCTGCAACCACTTTAGAAATTGGAACCTCTTTGGAGACTGGAACCACTTTGGAAATTTCAACAACTTTGGAACCTGCAACCACTTTTGAGACTGGAACCACTTTGGAATCTGTGACCACTATGGAAACTATCACTACTTTTGAACCTGCAACCACTTTAGAAATCGGAACCGCTTTGGAGACCGGAACCACTTTGGATACTACAACGGCTTTGGAATCTGCAACCGCTTTTGAGACTGGAACTTCTTTTGAACCTGGAACCTCTTTGGAAACTGGAACCGCTTTGGAAACTGGAACTATTTTGGAGACTGCAACCACTTTTGAGACTGGAAGCACTTTTGAACCTGCAACCACTTTGGAAACTGGAACCACACTGGAAACTGAAACAGCTTTGGAAACTGGAACAACTTTGAAGTCTACAACCACTTTTGAACCTGCAACCACTTTGGAATCTGTGACCACTATGGAAACTATCACTACTTTTGAACCTGCAACCACTTTAGAAATCGGAACCATTTTGGAGACCGGAACCACTTTGGATACTTCAACGGCTTTGGAATCTGCAACCACTTTGGAAACTGGAACTTCTTTTGAACCTGGATCCACTTTGGAAACTGGAACCACTTTGGAAACTGGAACCACGTTGGAGACTGGAAACACTTTGGAAGCTGGAACCACACTGGAAACTGGTGCCACTTTGGAAACTGCAACCAGTTTTGAACCTGGAACCACTTTTGAGACTGGAAGAACTTTGGAATCTACAACCAGTTTGGAATCTGTGGCCACATATGAACCTGAAACTAATTTTGGACCTGCAACCACTTTAGAAATTGGAACCACTTTGGAGACTGGAACCACTTTGGAAATTTCAACAACTTTGGAATCTACAACCCCTTTTGAGACTGGAATCACTATTGAACCTGCAACCACTTTGGAAACTGGAACCACACTGGAAACTGGAACAGCTTTGGAAACTGGAGCAACTTTGAAGTCTACAACCACTTTGGAGCCTGGAACCACTTTGGAGCCTGGAACCACTTTGGAATCTGTGACCACTGTGGAAACTGGAAGTACTTTTGAACCTGCAACCACTTTAGAAATTGGAACCACTTTGGAAACTTCAACAGCTTTGGAATCTGCAACCACTTTGGAAACTGGAACTTCTTTTGAACCTGCAACCACATTGGAAACTGGAACTACTTTGGAAACTGGAACCAATTTGGAAAACGGAACAACTTTGGAATTTGGAACCACTTTGGAAACTGGAGCTACTTTGGCTGGTGCAACTACTTTTGAGACTGGAAGCACTTGTGAACCTGCAATCACTTTGGAAACGGGAACCACACTGGAAACTGGAACCACTTTGGAAACTTCAACAACTTTGGAGTCTGCAATCACTTTGGAAACTGGAACCACTTTGGAGACTGCAGTCTCTTTCGAGACCGGATCTACTTTTGAATCTGTGACCCCTATCGAAACTGGAACTACTTTAGAACCTGCAACCACTTTAGAAATCGGAACCACTTTGGGGACTGGAACAACTTTGGAAACTTCAACAACTTTGGAATCTGCAATCACTTTGGAAACTGGAACCACTTTGGAGACTGGCACCACTTTGGAGACTGCAGCCTCTTTTGATAGTGGAACCACTTTGGAAACTTCAACAAATTTTGAACCTGCAACCACTTTAGAAATTGGAACCTCTTTGGAGACTGGAACCACTTTGGAAATTTCAACAACTTTGGAATCTGCAACCACTTTTGAGACTGGAACCACTTTGGAATCTGTGACCACTATGGAAACTATCACTACTTCTGAACCTGCAACCACTTTAGAAATCGGAACCGCTTTGGAGACCGGAACCACTTTGGATACTACAACGGCTTTGGAATCTGCAACCGCTTTTGAGACTGGAACTTCTTTTGAACCTGGAACCACTTTGGAAACTGGAACCACACTGGAAACTGGAACAGCTTTGGAAACTGGAACAACTTTGAAGTCTACAACCACTTTGGAGCCTGGAACCACTTTGGAATCTGTGACCACTGTGGAAACTGGAAGTACTTTTGAACCTGCAACCACTTTAGAAATTGGAACCACTTTGGAAACTTCAACAGCTTTGGAATCTGCAACCACTTTGGAAACTGGAACTTCTTTTGAACCTGCAACCACATTGGAAACTGGAACTACTTTGGAAACTGGAACCAATTTGGAAACCGGAACAACTTTGGAATTTGGAACCACTTTGGAAACTGGTGCTACTTTGGTTAGTGCAACCACTTTTGAGACTGGAAGCACTTTTGAACCTGCAATCACTTTGGAAACGGGAACCACACTGGAAACTGGAACCGCTTTGGAAACTGGAACAACTTTGAAGTCTACAACCACTTTGGAGCCTGGAACCACTTTGGAATCTGTGACCACTGTGGAAACTGGAAGTACTTTTGAACCTGCAACCACTTTAGAAATTGGAACCACTTTGGAAACTTCAACAGCTTTGGAATCTGCAACCACTTTGGAAACTGGAACTTCTTTTGAACCTGCATCCACATTGGAAACTGGAACTACTTTGAAAACTGGAACCAATTTGGAAACTGGAACAACTTTGGAATTTGGAACCACACTGGAAACTGGTGCCACTTTGGAAACTGCAACCAGTTTTGAACCTGGAACCACTTTTGAGACTGGAACCACTTTTGAGACTGGAAGAACTTTGGAATCTACAACCAGTTTGGAATCTGTGACCACATATGAAACTGAAACTACTTTTGAACCTGCAACCACTTTAGAAATTGGAACAACTTTGGAGACTGGAACAAGATTGGAAACTTCAACAACTTTGGAGTCTGCAATCACTTTGGAAACTGGAACCACGTTGCAGACTGGAACCACTTTGGAGACTGCAGCCTCTTTTGAGAGTGGAACCACTTTGGAAACTTCTACAGATTTTGGACCTGCAACCACTTTAGAAATTGGATCCTCTTTGGAGACTGGAACCACTTTGGAAATTTCAACAACTTTGGAATCTACAACCCCTTTTGAGACTGGAATCACTATTGAACCTGCAACCACTTTGGAAACTGGAACCACACTGGAAACTGGAACAGCTTTGGAAACTGGAACAACTTTAAAGTCTACAACCACTTTGGAGCCTGGAACCACTTTGGAGCCTGGAACCACTTTGGAATCTGTGACCACTGTGGAAACTGGAAGTACTTTTGAAGCTGCAACCACTTTAGAAATTGGAACCACTTTG